TGTGTCGGACAAAAGTTTCCCCCCGCCTCCCCCCCAACCTCACCTTCCGCCCCACCCCCCCACCCCAAAAATAATCACACGGTCATTCGCCGACAATGTTATGAAACATTTCAAGCATCTTGCAACGTGCCAGGCATCTTGCGACGTGCCAACTACCTTGCAACGTCACAACATCTTCTAAACGTGCCATGATTTACAAGTTACAAAAGAAAATTCGGAGAATAGCGTCAAGACCAACTCAAAAAGTGACTTAAAAAGTTCAGAGCGGAGCATCAAGAGCGTGTCACAAGCTGCAAGAGAAAGTTCAGAGTTCAGCATCACGAGGTGCTACGAGTGCGTTGTTAACAGTTACCATCCCAATCACACGGTCATTCGTCAATGTGCCTACGTGTGTCGGACAAAAGTTTCATGTGCTCATTTCCTTTCATGTCCTCTCACGGATCCCCCTCATTTCATTTCGTTTCTTTTCGTGTCCTGCGTGCGTCCTGGTTGTCTGACTCGCGAACTGGTTGGCTGACTCGCGACCTGGTTGGCTGACTCGTGACCTGTTGGCTGACTCGCGACCGGTTGTCTGACTCGCGACCTGGTTGGCTGACTCGCGACCTGGTTGGCTGACTCGTGACCTGGTTGGCTGACTCGCGACCGGTTGTCTGACTCGCGACCTGGTTGGCTGACGCGCGACCTGGTTGTCTGACTCGCGACCTGGTTGGCTGACGCGCGACCTGGTTGGCTGACTCGCAACCTGGTTGGCTGACTCGCGCCTTCCTGGTTGGCTGACTCGCAACCTGGTTGGCTGACTCGCGCCTTCCTGTTGGCTGACTCGCGCTTTCCTGTTGGCTGACTCAGGTTGGCTGACTCGCAGCCCTGTTGGCTGACACGGTCTTCGCCCTGGCATTAGCATATTCTTGACCTGCGATTGCACATTGTTACACTGATTAAAAACTAATTGCAGGGTGTTGAATTTGTTTGATCTCCATGTGGACGACATTTTGAATGTGCCTGACAATCTAAATCAGAGGGTTACACACCTCAAGAAACAGTTTCCGACTCACGCACCAGAGAAAGCTGGCAAACGCCAAAGTGCGGCAGCATTTGAGCCAATCTGCTATCCAGGTGAATAGACATGACAACCCATGTGACTGGTTTCATATCATATAGGCATTGGTCAAAATGTGGTATCCAACCTGTTGGGCCCAAGGGGTGCCCATATGCTCACGGATTCAGATGAAGCCTCAAGATTGAACAAGGTGGAGTGTGCACCGCTGGCCACCTTCCTTGGGCAGTATCCCAGCATGACTACGATATCCCCATATCCCCAATTGCATCATATCATGCCCATATCGCAGCATGGCTTGCTGTTGCTGTGACCTATATCACTTGCGACATTGGAGGCCCTGAGATCCAAGCCTTCCAAATTGCCACAGTAGCTGCCAGTATGTTGCAAGACTATGCCGGTTATCAACGCTTGTCTGGTATTGAAAATTGGGATTCGAATCCCAGGTAGCCCGTGGTTCTGGTATGAAGCAAAGGCGCAAGTACTACACAGTGAGGATGGGAAGAGAATCCTGCAGTGTGCTCTGTGTTTTCAGCCGCTACAACAGCCTTCATCCGTGAAACATCTTTGTTTGGCCCAGAATTAAGGCCCTACAAGAGAAGCTGTGTGTCTGTTTCACACACACAAAATCAAGCTCTTCACCTTCCATCAACTCGCCAAATTCGCGCCGTCCTTCAGAAACAGGCCAAATGCATAAAACACGAAATGTCACATGGAAAGCAAAGAACATTTGCAGTGATATTGAGTAAAACCATCAGTCTCTTCATTTGGAGTTCAGCAAATCATTGATTCTGTGGCATCTATTCAGCATGAGAAAATAGTCTGGGATGTCCATTCAACATGGCTTTCAATGGCACTTGGCAGCTTTCAAGACGTTGGCATCCTGTGTCGTTGGATGTCCTCTCGTTTTGGGCACACCTTTGGGTACATGGTTTGAGTATGTTTGAGTTCTACCGTGTAACCCTCAAAATTAAATCACATTGTTTTGATCTAATCCCATGTATGTCTATGTGTAAGTATGTGTACATCGATCTAGTCTATGCATCTATACGATCTATACTTATCCGTGCTGCCACTATCCAAGGTTGCTGTGTTTGGGACATCTCAAGGCCCTCCTGTCAGCACTGCCGGTGAGAACTTTGCCGCCATCCGGTGACCAGCACAGGGCGCGGATCGCTGATTGATGACCTACTGGGCGACCCAAAAACCAATGGTTTCCCCCTGTTGGAAAGTGACTGATGCTTTGGGGTTGCACATTTTCAGAAACTATCACTTCAAAAAGGTCCCCATCAAAACTACGTCTAATACTTGGCCATTGGAAAGAGAAATCTGATGAAAAATGGATGGCCCAACTTTGGCTGAAATCAATTTTGGATCTGAATATTTTGGATGCTCAACCCAAACTGCTGACTGGGAAACCAAAATTACTGAGCAAACATCTTCAAACAGTTTTGCAAAGGTCAAAGATTGACCGAAGTTGGCTGGCACGACTTAAGTTGTAGACCTACCCACCTGTCAATTCGGCCGCAAGGTTCCATTGGTGAAGATCGCCTCTGGTCCACACCTAAAGCAAAGCGGAGAGGACCCCTTCATCTCAGGATTGATACGCAGGAAAACGTTGGCACAAAAGCCATATTTGTGATATATGGTCTGAGTAAGAAACCACGATTTCCTGAAAGAGTTCCCTTGAATTGTCAAGCTGTCAACTTTGGTCACCAACAGGCTGCTTTGACAAAGCTGGGCTGCTGGCTCGGAGAATTGCATCGGCCTTAGTCAAAACAACGGGTGACAATAGTTCCGACACCACCTTTTCACACCTGTGCCACATGGAAAATCTATGGAAAGACTGGGTTAGAACAGTTAGAACATACTAAAATTGTGTTGTTTGACGTCGCCAAAACCAGAAATCCACTGCCACTGAGGTAACATGACACCCCAGTGTCTCCCCCCTCCGCAGAGCTCCCGGCACCACCTGTGGCCAGCTTTCGGCCATCCGGAGACCATGCCACCGCTTTGACCCCAGCACAGGTGCCCACCCTGGCAACGGGTGCAACGTGGAATCCAATAAAACAAAACACTGGGGCCTTCGGGACGGACCGGGGAACATCCATGAAAGTTTGAACCTCTACCCTATGAACCCTATGAACCCTATGGATTCATGGTGATATTCAATGATATCATGTGATATCATGTGATATCATGTGATATCATGTGATATCCACCATCTTTCTGAGGAATTGAACTGAATCCATGGGATTTAAGCTGTGTCCACAGCCGAATCTGCCATCCCTCTGAGCGTCAGACTCGAGCTTTGCGACTTCCTGCCATCCATCACAGTGCCAGATCCGTGTGGTGGCGTCCGTACCTCGGGATCAACAACCGAAACGGGAAATGGTCATGTCGTCAACGGGAAATGGTCAGTGATCAAGAAGTAAATCTAGATCCAAATATTCATGTAGATTCTGTAGATTATCTCCAACTCGTTCCCGTATCTATGTTCAAATACGAAAGTCACCTGGGATAATCTTTCCAAGTAGGAATGGATATCTTTAAAACATACTCCATCCCATCAAACAAGCTGACTTGGGAAACTGATATCACCGATATCAATTGCAGAATGAGCTGACCCACATGAGCTATGGCCCCCACTGCCGCTGGCAAGCTGTGTGCCATCCCAAGCCCAGTCCAGAGACCTGGCACTTCGCAGAATCTATCAGAATTTTCCACGATTCGATCTGATTCTCAGAATCTTCCTTTCCCACGATCCGACACTCGATGGCCTTATAGCTCCAGAGTGTCCAGAAAGTGTCGCAAAGACCTGCAGCTGTGTTATCTGTCAATTACGCCGCTGGTACGTCGTATCCACATGTTTAATGGCTATGTATTTATGAATCTCATTGAAATTCCACTTTTTGCAGGTTAAACCTCCTGTTTTTAAAGATCCTTCCCCTCACCCCAACGCAACAACGTGCCTCAAAGGATCGTCGGTCATGCGGAGCCACATGGGATTGCCACAAGACGATGGTGGAGTCGGCCAGTCCGGTGGCAATGACCACACGGTTCTGTGTTCGAACCTGCTTCGGGTAATGGCAGGAAAGGATATGGAGATGCAGCAAGAGACAATTCTCAAATGTTGAGGTGTAACCAGCATTTTCCAGCATTTTCCAAGGTCACCAACATGTCAACCCCCATTGCCATGTAAACCTGTTCTCCGCCACCATTGCCATGTCCAAAGATCTTCGCGTTCCATGCGTTCCCGTTGGGATCGCGGTCCGAACGGCCTTGTCTGGGTCAGGACGCCACGCAACGGCTCGCACCTTGGAGGAGGATGGTACGAATTGATGTGGCAGTGTGTCAAAACCTTGTACCCCTGGTGAACATCAAAATAGCTGGTAAATGGATGGTCATCCCCCTAAAAATGGTATTAATAGGTATTGATCCATACCCATATGAATTGTACATCATGTGGTCCAACGGGAAACTACTTGGTTCGTTTTCATTTTCCCAACATTTTGCAACATAAGAAATCATACCAGAAAAAATGGGCTGCACATTGGGTTCCTCACATCATTTGGAAATTGGGAACTTTCCGACTCCCTATGCTGGATTGCAATACGGAGTACGCAGGTATTGACTGCCAATTACTGTGCTTCCGACCGAATCGCAGTGGCCATTGAGAATGGCCACTTGCTCCCAACACAATGGGTCCATTCGCGATGCCTCACCGCAATCAGGGCTCCACACACTCCCAATGTTTTTAGGTAAACGTCACCCATATGTCAAAAGTCAAAAAGTGAACACCAGAAACATCATCCCAGATTCAAGTGATTTCCAGGGGGGCATTGCTGTCGGGCCTTCCATATCCTGGCGGTTTTATCATCGCCTCCCGTCAAGACCTTCCGTCCACAGGGAGACCATGAAACGGCGCGCAGTATGTCCCCGTGACCTTGGCCGCTTCCAAACATTCCATGTTTGCCACTGAAAACCAACAACTGCAGCCCCGAAAAACCCTCTGGTAAACATACAAAAAAACTATGGAAAGATCCACCATTTTTCATGGGAAAACTCACTATTTCTATGGCCATTTTCAGAGGGCAGACACCATTTTCCAGAAACCATCAGAAACCCAAACATCATCGCACATTTCGAAACTAAGCATCGATCCACGAAGTATGCCACTGGCCTCCCATTGCCGGTGCTCGGGGCCAGAAACGTTGTAAACCTCAGCTGGGATCGCCACCAACCAGAATCTCTCTCGTTTTGCTCAGAATTTTCTCTGTAAAAATACGGCCAATTGGGAGGTATAGATCCATTTTCAGACACACCCACATTCAATAAATGTCCTAAAAATGAAATCTGTTCGCTTGATGTCCACTAGCAGGATTGGGGACTGTTGATAGTCCTCAGTTGCAGTGTTCCATTGATTTGGTTAATGACTCCATAGCGAGTTGCAGTTGGTTGATATCTGAGCAGCAAACCAAGGCTTCATGATCCATGCCTGCAGCCTCGATGATCCAGTGGCCAAATCCAGTTGGATACAGGCCATTGGGATGTTGCAAACTCGTTTAAACATACCATCTGGTTATGACTCACATAGCCATGGAAAATCATCATTTTTAAGTTCGGTAAACCATCTATTTCTATGGGCCATCTATACCATGGCTATGTTAGTCATAACCAGAGGGTATCCAAAATTGGGCCTAGTTTGAAGTGAAAGTGAACTTCACCAGTTGAAGAATGGGATATGTAGAACGTGATTAAAACCTGCCAGAAGCAGTGAACCAACTGACCTCAAAAATGCGATGGATGAGACCAAAATCTACCAATGGATAACCCATCACCAAGGATTTATGGCGCACCTTGGGGAGATATCGAACTTTCAAACCACAGATGCCAGAGATCCATAGAGATCCTATCTGTTTTTCGCTCCGATTCACCTGGTTGCTCTCTGCTTCTGGTTGGTTAAAAATGCCACTGTTCCAATGAATTGTTGGCTGATCCTTTGTAGATTTTGTAGAACCCCAGTAACCAAAGTATACCAAAGTCACCAATGGAGCCCTGCTGAGGCCCCCAGCCACTAACCGGGAACAGTCTGGTGACCACGCGAGGGCGCGGAAGCCATCGGTGGAGCCGGCTCTCAAGGTCTTGATCGCCTGCCAGGGCCCCAGGGCCATGGGGAGCTCATAGTGTTTCAAAATCATCAAAATTTGGGATAAACTCTCAAGAATGAAAGGAATACCCACTCATAATCAGCAATACCTGAAACTTATTGAAACTTGCCACCTGAACGGGAAACATCTGGGAAAATGATGTTGCAAGCCACTATAGCCCATGTTCACGCCATCTGGAGCCATTTTCTCATGCCTTCCATTGTGTATTTCCAGATGGCTTCCAGATGCAAGCCTTGCAGCTCTGCATGTGAGAATTCTAAGAAATTACATACTCATTGCATAGACTCATAGTTGCACAGAAAGTTAATAATGGTTAATAACGGTTAATGATGGTTAATGATGGTTGATGATAGTAAGTTCTAGTTAAAACTGAATCCTGTAGGCTTCTGGCTGTGTGATTTGAACTGCCTCAGACACGCATCAAGCGCATTCTAGGGACTCGCCAAAAAAAATGCAATCAAATGGGTGCTATGCAAAATTTGAGATCGACTCAGCAGTCGACCGGTGACAATCTTTTCGTTCTCCTTATTTTCCTGGTCTGCTGCCCATGCAACACCATTCACCCAACTCCTCAGTGAAATTCAGAAAAGAAATCTGGCAACAAACGAAAATGATAAAGAAATGGAAAAGAGACTGTGAGTTCCGTGAGCGCATTAAAACAAAAAAAACATCCACCAAATTTTCACAAAGTTCAGCTGTCTTCCCAAGACCCCCACGAGTGGCGCCGCAGCACTTTCACTGAAGCAGCGCTGACCTGCACACAGCTCGAGACTCGAAGTGTGTCCAGAGTGTTCTCGATTTCCAGGAAGCAAGCTGCAAAATCAAAAAGCCAACAAAAAAAGGTTATAGTAAAAGTACCCAGTTATAGTGAAGTTATAGTTATAGTTATAGTTATAGCTGCTGTATTTCCAGGAAGCAAACATCGTTTTTTCAATCCAAACAGGTACCCCTGTGGTCGCTGCTGAATCCGCCATTTTCACCACACCTCACATGGTTTTGGGTCATGAAGTGCGACCGTCTCCTGGCACAGCCAGTGATATCAGCTATGCCCCAGTTGGTGATGAAATCACCATTTGCGTGGGCGAATCACCAGTAGTGGGTGAATAAATCACCAGTTGGTGAATGAATAAATGGATCATCGATTATTTTATCACAAGGTGATGTTCAATTGGATCACCATTTTGGTTATAATAATGATGGATAATCCATTCACTTATTGGATCACCATTTTGGTTATAATCGATGATCCGTTCACCAGCAAGTGAAATAAGTCTGCACCCAGCATAGCCTCCTCGTTCGGAACGTCCATTTCTTGAAGCCTGAAAATTTCACAAGAAGAACCACCGTTTCCGTTGAACCCAACTGGCAAACCTGTAGAATTGGAATGTTGCACAGTTGCACATATACCATAGCAACAAATCAGCAACAAATTGTGAGTTCAATGTTTTTTTTGCGTAGAAAAACACAAATTGTGACAGGTCATGTTTTGGAAAGCACGGATGTTTCCTCTCGGAAAGCATTGACTTGACGGACGGATCCATTGCATTAAGCCACGCACGCAAGTTCTGTACCTCGATGACATCTGCGCAAAAAAATCCGAGGAAAAACGGAAAAACCCATCAAAAAAACACAAAACAGGAAGGCACCGGGGCGTTCAAATTCGATCTCATCCTCGATCTGCTCAAAGGGATCAAAGGTCGGAAAGCGATCAGATTTGGGTGACCTCAACGGATTTACCAAGAGATCCCGCGTGGCGACATGGCGAAATGAGCCGGGTATGATTAGGATTTACCCGGCCGCTTGTGATTTAATGGTGATTTTCTATGGTTTCACAATGGGTTAACAATGGCGAATCATGGGATGATACTGGGATATACCCGGCCTGGTAAACATACAGTTTAAGCTATTGAAGCCATGGCACATAGAAATAGTTGATTTGCCCAGCTATAGAATGGGTGGATTTTCCATAGTTATGTGGCTGTTTACCAGAGGGTAACTGCTATAGTCCAAGCACAATCGTTTAGTATTCAGAGATCCATCTGAAAACACCACGCTTGCAGCCGGCGGACCATGTTGAGTTTGGCATCCACTTTCCGGTTTTGCAAACTGAGCAAGTAACGCGGACACGTCGCCGTAACCTTTTGGCAAATCTTCATGGCCATGCACCTGCATAGCAAAAAATTGAAACCGGACAGATGGCGATTTTCTTGATGGATTCCTCAGATTTTACCATTTTTTCACTGGAACGATTCAAGAGAAAATCTGCAGGAAACGACCTGTTTTCGCATGAAACATATGAAACCAGTGAACAAAAGATTCTTTGAATCTGAAAAATGGTGGTTTCCATTGGTTTCCTGTAAAAATTTTCACAATTTTCCCATGATTTTGGACCTCAGTCAACGTAAGGAGCAGTTCCTTCAGGTCCACTGCTGGCACTTCGACCTCGGGGACGACGGTCCAGTCTAACATCTGCAACGGGTCACCATGGCGGGTGAACTAAGCGTCCAACTCTCAGGTTTAAAGCCACTTGACCTGTTTGAAACATCACAAAAATCAAGGTTTGAAAGAGTTGTGGCAACGACATTTGAGTTATATAAAATATTTATCTATTCATCTGATCCATTCGTTTATCTACTCAATATTTAATGTAGATTGATGTGTGGGTGCACGTACATGGTTTACAAGGTGTAGGCGGGGTGATGGCAGGCGCGCTGACACTGAACATTTCGCATTTCACGGGAACTTTGCATCCACAGTTTGCTGTTCCGTGCCTTCAGCCACTCGTTCGAAACCTCAGGTAGTGGTGAAGTCTGATGGCACCAGCACACAAAACAGTGGTCGAGACCAAGTCCTGGACTGATCTTGGCCCCTCCACAAATTGGACTGGCCATTTTTGCTATGGAATTTTGCACGTTGAATTGCCAAAACAAATATGTTGGATTGCAACTGGTTGAAGTGATCAACACCACTCCAAATGTGCAACAAATGTTTAGGCATGATTGAGCAACCCAAGGTTCTGCAAATTTTCGACCAGTGAACGTTGCGAAAACGGGAATAATCACAATTTTGCATTTGCACACTCAAATTTTGCACATTGATTCAACTTGATGGATCTCTTGCTTGTGGCTATCTGAGTGAAAGCGCTGATCTAGTGTTTCATGTTCCCAAATCCCAAGTAGCAAAACATGGAAAAACCAAACAACAACCTCAGAAAATCCAACAAAAAATGACAATGGAAACATGGCACGGGTTGCATGCCCCATTCTGTTATTCATGAATGCCCCGGCACCCAACATTGACTCGAAGTGAACTGCGAGAATCAGGGCTGAACATTGGGCAGTGCAAGTTTGCTAATTGAAAAACGACTCTGCGCAGGATTCCATCCCGGAAAGTGACAATGCAAACAAGGGACATGTTTGCTTTGAAAAACGGCATTGGTTTCTACATGTGATTTGTCGATATTAGTCGTTGCCACCTCGAATCCTTGGCGTGATTCTGCCGGCTACATTCCACAGCGTTTATCATCCCTTTAAAGGGATAGAAAAAAAATCGCACAATCACAAAACCAAAGTGCAAATCTTGCCACAACAAAACATACTGCGCGTCTTACACTGGACAAGACGCGCATGCAGGGAGCAAAAGAAAGTCCCAATTTGATACATGGAATGAAACCGTCCAATTCTCACAGTCGGGTCAGGAAGAGCCTCACAAAGCAAAACTGTTTCAAGAAGCACCATTTAGAAAGAAAAACATTGCCACACTGTGCACACATTGCTCACAAACAAACCAGCCTCTATGGAATGAGGTGTCCATAGCAGTCCAACCTGAATGATTGCTTGACCCGAGTTGACCCCCGCACTTCAGCAAGGCGTTTGTAACAAGTAAGTAACAATATTGACATGTATTTACTGAGGGGAGGACTTGGAGACACCGCGTTTAATGGAAGTTTCTTCGTCTTCCTTGCTCCAGCTGCCGTCCTGCGGAGAAGGCATTCAAACGAAAACGAACTGGTCATTGAAGCCACGTGTTGGCTAAAAATGTCGATCTTGCAAGCTGCAATGGACAGTTCGGTTTCCGTCTTAATCGCCTCGCGGCAAAACGAAAGTACCACCCATGCATGTTTACACACTTTCAGGAAAACATGTTCTGGTTTTCATCGCTGTCTGCTTTGTCTTCTACTCAACGTTAACTAAGGCACGGTATTGGACATCAACGCAAACCATGAACTCACAGCACATGTTGCACAAACCCTGCTTTTCTATTGTCATTTCTCTTCTGAAAAATGTTCCCAACACAAGATGAACGAATTTCGAGCGAAATTCGAACGAAATTTCTCTTTTGAGGTTCCACCGCCTGTGGCATGCAAATGATGGCCAATGCTCTCAAGCTGCCCTCTAAGTGCATCTTCTTGTCCCATGGCAGCATCTCTCGCTCGTGTTGCTGCTGAGCCATCTTTGCCATTTTCTCGATAGTGTTGGTGGCGATCCGCAACTCCACTACACAGTCTTTCAAGGTTTTGTAAGCTAGTTCCTGCTCAGCACGCCGTTTAGGATCCGGCTGCTCTGCAAACATCTCTGGAACCACTTCCAAATTCCTCTTCTTGGTTCTTGTGAACTTCCCTCAGGCGACCAACTCATGAACAGGTTGGCTCTTTCCACGGCCTTAAGCATGGTGCGCCTAAGCCCGAAACGATTTGAATATTCGTCTGGGATAACTGTGGCTTGCCATTGACCAGATCATCGAATTGCGCCTTCGTCAAGGCAATCCACAAGGTCAGTGTCATCAGCTTGGCAGGATCTTCCAACTCCACATTCGACGGTGGAGCAACGTCCTCCATTCTCGCCATCATTGAAGCAGACTCGGAACCCTCCGATCCAGTTGCCATTGGCCACTCGGCCAGAAAAGATATGAATCACTGCTCAACAGTGCCAAGTTTGAGAGTTCTCTGAGCCAAAGTCAAAAACAAGTCGCGTATTGGGCTCAAAATACTCACAAAACAGAAGCAAAACGAAGTGAACTCCGTTTCACAAACAACTGGTGTGAGCTGGCCGATTTACCCTCGGTATGCAAATGAGCACAACAACTCACACAACAAAGACAAAATGACTCCGATCCAGATCACATCCCAAACCAGGCAAAATAAAAGCATGTTCATCAAAATCAAAACTGTTGTCAAGCTCAAGCAAAACTGCAAACCTCAGCAAAAATGAAACTGACACTTCGCAAAAAATGGTGTGGGCTGGCCGATTTACCCTCGGCACGCAAAAGAGCGCAGCAGTCCACACAAAACAAAATGATAATTCTTCGGCAAAACGATTGTCACAAAATACACCAAACCACTCATAGCTCTTTGGCGTGGCGACACTTGTCCCAACTGCATAAGCTCCCTAACGCCATTATTAGCTTATCCAGATCACACTTGATGAACTCAAAACTCACAATTCTGCGGTGAAGCACGACACCCTGAGTACGTCTTCCTCCAAGGCAGCTCCATCGACTGCAATCCAGTCGTTGCCGAGCCTGCAGTCGGACGACAGAGCTGACAAGTTTGCTCTCACCTCAATCTCGGTCTACTCCCAATCATACAAGACTTCACAGTGCGTTAGGAGGGACCACTTTTGATTTTAAGGGGGTCCACTTTCTGACCCCTTTTAAGCACGTTTCCTTTGCACGGGGGTCCAAAACTCGACCCAACACGTTGAATCCGGCGCCTCCTTCGAGGTCCCGTTTTTAAGCCCACCCAAGCACCTTCTTCAGCTGCGCTGTTCGAATTTAGAAACGCATCAAAGCAACACCGAGTTGGCAATAAGGGCCTCGAACAAGGGAGGCCCCAACTCCGTCTCCAAAAATAATCCCAATTTCAGGTGCCAAAAACGAACCTACAACTAGCCCCTTGTACCTGCTTGTCTTGGTCATGACAATCTTTCCCTTTCTGTTCTGTTGATGAAAGAGGTCCCGTGTTTCCAACGCCTGCAAATCGAGGCGCTTCGAGGCTCGGCGAGGCCTGGTCGAGGCCACGCCTCGTACGCAAAACGTATTTGGCACATCACTTCGCTATTTATTCTTGCGTTCTTGTTGATTCCTGTGCTCCTTATTTGTTTCTTGCAATCTGGAAGTTCATTGTTTCTTTTCTCGAAAGCGCTTATTTATTATCGTGTTTTCCATTGATTTTTCCGAATTCTTTTTTCCCGGATCCCCGAGCTTCTTTCAAGGTTCTGAATTTCTCTGCATATTTCCCTGCATTTCGGAGGGCGGGCCCCCCCCTTTCGTCGAAGGGGGGCTTGAAGGTGGGGCTTGAGGGGGGGCTTAAGGGGTCATGTGGAAGCCCTTAAGGGGGTGCTCAAGAAGGGGCTTAATGGTCGGCTTCAAGGTGGGCTTCAAGGGGGGCTTCAAGGAGGCCTTCAAGGGGTAGGGGCGCTACTACTACTACTGCTACTACTACTACTACTACTACCACTACCACTACCACTACCACTACCACTACCACTACTACTACTACTACTACTACTACTACTACTACTACTACTACTACTACTACTACTACTACTACTACTACTACTACTACAGTTGTAGTCGTAGTGGTAGTAGTAGTTGTAGTAGTAGTTGTTGTTGTTGTAGTAGTTGTAGTAGTAGTAGTAGCAGTAGTAGTAGTAGTAGTGGTAATAGTAGCAGTAGCAGTAGCAGTAGCAGTACCAGTAGCAGTAGAAGTAGCAGTAGTAGTAGTAGTAGTAGTAGCCTCCCTTGAAGTTACCCTTTGAAGCTACCCCTTGAAGGCCCGTTTGAAATCCTCCTTAAGCCTCCCCTTAAGCCTCCCCTTAAGTCCTCCGTTAAGCCCCCCTTGACCCCCCCTGAAGCCACCCCTTAAGCCCCCCCTTCAAGCCCCCTTCGTGTGAAGGGTAGTGGGCCTCATATGGCATTTCGTCAGCTTCTTTATTTCCTTGTTTATTTCTTTACTGGAGAGGCCCCTTCCAATGGCTCCAGTTCTGTGACAAATTTCAATTCCCATTTTTGGAGCTGTTGTTTGGCCATTTTCGAAGCCAAAACAAAAACATCGAAAGCCCTTGAACGTCTGTCATGGATAACGTTCCAGCCGGTTTGCTGGCCTATGACCATGTCAGCCACTCATTTGTCTGGGCTACGATCGATCCAATTCTGTTCTCTTTCGAATGCACATTTTTTTTTTTCCTCGAGTGTGGCCGATGTCGCGCTAAAGGCTCGGTCCTTACATGAAAGTAAGCAGGAAATACAAATTGCAAGGACAAAGGGTCCTTGGAGTCGGCAAATCGATTGAAGCAACAAAAACAAAAACCACAACCAAACCAAAAACGACGACCCGCAAATCCCCCAGCCAGACTTGCGTTTCGCCAGCGGAAACAGCGAAGCAAACAGCAGAAACAAAACAAAACCCACAAAACGGGGCCAGAGCCCAAACAAAAACACCCACCGAATCGATTTGCCATTGGACGCAGTGGCTTGTCCACTGCATCACTATCAAAAACATGCCACATGAATTAGGGATCACGGCTGTCCAGGCAGACATGAAGGCCTTAGCTTGGGAGTTAACCCTAGCATGGGCCAAGCTGTACACGAAAGCAGGGCTACGATAAAACCTCTCTCAGAGTCCTCTCAGATCAACTCGTCAATGGACCTTCATGGACATAGTAGTCATCATTTTGTCTGTCAGCCGCGATCACGAAGCCGTGATGTTGAGAAATCAGAACCCCCCTTTAAAAGGGGGGGACAGAGATGGCAAAGGGGAAGCATCGTAGGCCAGGGACAAGCTTCCAAACATGCCATCGCCTACCAAAAAAAGGGGGCACGCCCCTAGTTTCATAGGGGAAAATGCAGCCATCCATTGGATTGGTCTCAGCCAGCGACTTTCTTGGCAGTATTCGCAAAGCTGAGCAACATGCAGAA